AGTGGAAGATGCTCCGCCGCCCCATCCTCACACAGCGGCCCTCCCCCTCCTCCTCCTCCCTCCCCCACCCTCCCCCACCACCGCCGAACTCCTCCATTCCTCCTCCTCCTCCTCCTCCTCCCCTCCTCCTCCTCCTCCTCCTCCTCCTCCTCCCCTCCTCCTCCTCCTCCTCCTCCTCCTCCTCTCCTCCTCCTCCTCTCTCCTCCTCCTCCTCCTCCTCCCCTCCTCCTCCTCCTCCTCCTCCTCCTCCTCCTTCCTCCCTCCTCCTCCTCCTCCCCTCCTCCTCCTCCTCCTCCTCCTCCCTCCTCCTCCTCCTCCTCCTCCTCCTCCTCCTCCTCCTCCCCCCCTCCTCCTCCTCCTCCTCCTCTCCTCCTCTCTCCTCCTCCTCCTCCTCCTCCTCCTCCTCCTCCTCCTCCTCCTCTCTGCTCCTCCTACTGCTCCGCCTCCTCCTCCTTCTCCTCCTCCTTTTCCTTTTCCTCCTCCTCCTCTTCCTCCTCCTCCTCCTCGTCCCTCCTCCTCCTCCTCCTCCTCCTCCTCCTCCTCCTCCTCCTCCTCCTTCTCGGGAAAAGGCGCTTCAGGGCACGGCGTCGAAGTCGTCCACCTGCAGCCAGAGCCGGAAGAACAGCCGCGGCAGGGCGGGGTCGTCCTCGAAGGCCGTCCTCGCATGCAGCCAGCGGTAGTTGTCGATCGGCCCCAAGACTCGTCGGAAGACTCGGCTCAAAAGGCCTGGGGATCTTGAGGCTCCTTTGTCTGCTGGATACGAGACGAGCCAAGAAACGGTTGCATTTGAAAGCCGTTGTCTTCCTCACCACGCGTGTGGAATAGAGATGCCACGCCGAAAGAGAAGAAGAGAAGGATCAGGGACCCGTAGATCAGGAATCCAGGGTCTGGAAGCCCAGCCGAGGCTTGGCCATGGATGTCACCGCGGCCCTCATCGAATGAAGAGTCATCCAAGGTCTGAGAAGCATCCTGGTCACATTCCTTGCCGAACGTCCCGACCACATCTTCGGGGAGCCCCGGGCGCGCCCGTCATCCAGCAGCCGCACCTCGTCGAGGGCCCCCTGGATCGTTACGGCCGTCCCAGACGGCCCTCTCGGGCCCGTTCTGCGGCCGAAGAGCCTTAACCTCCAGCGTCCACGACTGAGCATGGCGCGACCCCCAATAGGAGTACGTGCTCGTTTTGTTTTGTTGGTTGATGAAGGCGTGGAACGCAATGGAATGAGATGCCGTGTGATACAAAACGCTGCATAATTTGGCACCCCAAGCATAGCATTGTACCACGTAGCACATCAAGTCATAGCAGCCCTGCACAGCACCGCACTGCTTAACGTAGAAATGCATGCCACTGCATCGCATAGCGTGGCACCGCATACCAAGGCATGCCATGATACGGAATGTCAAGGACTTGCGCAGCATTTCATGGGAACACGCTGCACTGCAAAGCTCAGCACGTTGTAAGCCATACGACTCCTTAACATCGCACGGCATAGCAGTGCATGGCCAGACATGATAAAGCATACCAATGCATAGCGTAGCACGTCGAACCATGAGAAATAAGTGTAGTGTGCAGAGAGGGAGAGACCGAAAAAGCACTGACATGTTTACATCAAAAAAACGCTGTGCATCACACCTCAAGAGGAGAAAACAAACAAACAAACAAACAAACAAACAAACAAACAAACAAACAAAACGTGGGCGTCCCTGCTCGTATTCCTCTCTCTCTCTCTCTCTCTGCCCAGAGGGGCACCCCTGCTGCCCCTCTGCGGCCCCCTCCTTCTGCCGCCCTCCTCCCCTGGCCCAGGGGCCGAACGGAACACTGGCCGTCGGCGCGCTTGCTCCAGTCGAGGACGACCTGGAGCTTGGACGGCGCTGGGGGCTCTATGCACGGGAGGAGTGCGGACAGCCGCGACCACACAGCCGCGCGGCACAGAAAGAGGCAGAGCCCGCTCGCGGCGGGTCTTCGTGCTCTGCTGGCGGCGGCGGGCCGTACAGAAGGCCACTCGGATGGCACGGCGTGGCACGGCCTGGCATGGAGTGGCACGACGTGTCAGGGCACAGCATCGGCTAGCACAGCGGCGCACGGCACTAGCACTGCGCCGCACGGCCTGCAGTCCGAGCACCCCCCAGCGACCCCTGGGCGATACCCAGAGACGGTCCCCGAGCATCCCGAGCGATTCACCAAGCGATCCCCGAGCGACCTCCGAATAGGCCCTGAGTGATTCAAGCCGCCATTAAAGAAGGAGGGGCCCCTCAGGCGCGACCTGTTGCTTGTTGGTGTTTTTCCGGTGAGAGGGGGGGGCCTCCAGAAGCCCATTTCTGGACTCCCCCGCGGGAAAAGTAAATGACCCGATGCGGGACATGCACGCGAAAGATCACGCCGAGAGCTCCGGAGCGGCACCTCCCAAAAACGCCGAAGAAGTCGGAGGTCCGGGCCAGCCAGGTGTGCTTCGAAGACCACATGCCGTGTCCGGGTATTGCCAGAGGCGTCCCTGGCCCAAGGCTCCGGATTTCCCAGGAGGCCCCCAGGGCCACCAGAGCACCCCTCGCGAGGCCCAGGTGGCCGCAGGCGCTCCAAAGCGGAGCGAAAGGCTGGGGACACCCTGGGCGAGGGACAACTCCCCAGACGTGCGATGCCATGGCTTCTTCCACACGCGGCCCCTGGAAGTCCCCACCCCTTCCCCGGGGCCCTCTCTCCGTCCCGAGTCCTCTTGGACGGCCCTGGGTCCCAGTAGAGGCCCCCAGAGGCCGACAACGACGAAGAGCCTCCGTCCGGAATGGCCCACGACGCGTCCTGGAGGACGCCTTGGGCCCGGGGGAGGAGGAGGAGGAGGAGGAGGAGGAGGAGGAGGAGGAGGAGGAGGAGGGAGGAGGAGGAGGAGGAGGGAGGAGGAGGAGGAGGAGGAGAGGAGGAGGAGGAGGAGGAGGAGGAGGAGGGAGGAGAGGAGGAGGAGGAGGAGGGCCCGCCTCGTGCACCCCCTGGGCCGCCGCGGGAGGGGTGGCACGCCGCGGCCGGCCATTTGGAGGCCGCCGGCGCCCTTGGGGCGGAGCGGGGTCGGCGCCCTTCGCCTCTCGCCGCCACGCGAGGAGCGACCCCTCCCCCGCCTCCTCCTCCCTCCTCCTCCTCCTCCTCCTCCTCCTCCTCCTCCTCCTTCCGCCTCCTCCTCCTCCTCCTCCTCCTCCTCCTCCTCCTCCTCCTCCTCCAGGACAAGAGCGCCCTTTCGTGCGGTGCGCGGCGCTCGTTGTGCGGCATCGTCGAGGGGCCTCGTCTCGCCATCCCTCGGGCGTCCATTCCCAGGTGCGTGCTTCGGCTTCGTGCGCGTGCTTCTTCGCAGGATGGCCCCAAATTCTCCTCGACGGCCCGTCGCCGAGAAACGTGCGCACGGCCGAACGATGCCAAGTGGTCTGCCACGTCGCGCCCCTGTCCGTGTCGAATCCAGGGGGTCGCGGAGGGGGGGGGGGGGGGGGGACAAACCCGAGCGAGCAAGCCGCTGGTATATCGCACCGCACCGCACTCGGCGACCGGGGGGCCCCAGCTGGCCCGCACCACGGGTCCCTCTGGCGAAGGGCCACCTCTCACGCACGGCCGAGTCTTGGGGGTCATCAGGTAGGCCTCGCCAGCTCCCAGCTCCCAGTGCTGCACGACCGCGGGGTCGCTGCAGACCTCGCCCAGCGCCTCCAGCGAGGCTGCCACCTCTGAATGGGGCCCACGGACACACAAGCAGACAGACGCAAAACCAAGGATCCCCCACATTCTCCACGTTTCCTGAACACTTCTCTTTTGTCCATCTTTTCCAGGGAATCCTGGGAATCGACGAGTAGTTGTGTCTGTGTGTGTTTCCCCTCCTGAACCTCCGCCTCCCGCGGGGTGCCCGCGTAGGCGGCCCCGATGGTCTCCTCCATGTTCTTCGCGTACTGCACGCAGGCCCTGCCGCGGCCGTCGTGGAAGACCAGGGGCCGCTCCTCCTCGCCCGTCGGCGGCTGCCGCCAGTCTGGGTGGTACTCCACCTTGGGAAGAAAAAGAGCATGAATAGATTCGGCTACACACCAGAGTCGCTTTAGGAGGCAACTACTAGGAGGTCGTCGTCGGAAGAATTACGGAGGAATTAACCACACTGGGGGGCTGCTACACCGGATTAGGCCGCGGACTAAGTGGGGTTAGGCCGAACTAAGCGGGACTAAGCTGGATTAAGCGGGATCAAGCCAGATTACGCCGGATTTAGGACTAGGGCAAAATTAGAATTCGACCTCCCAGAAGTTGCATCCGAGAGTGACCCTCGGCAAGAGTGACCTTTGGTGCGCGGCCCAAGGGCGGGACTCTTGGGGACACCACCAGGCGCGCCAGCCGCTGCCATCGCATCACTTTCAGCGATCGGGAGGCCACATTGGGCCCGCACCAAAACTCACTCCGGCGAAAGGTCACTCTTACGTACACGGCTGGACGGAGGACATAGAAAACATCCCTCAAGAACAACCTGAAACCCTCCCCCAGCCCAAACTGGAGAACACTCGAGGGTGCCCTCCCACATGATGCACACTAATACCCAACAGACACGAAGACCAATAGGCCACCCTGCCCAAACCGGCCTCGATTTGGACGCCCGACATGGGTACGGAAAAAAAGGGGTACAATGCCCAACAACAAATGTTGTCCCAAACCGACAGCGGCCGCTGTTCGGCAGGCGGCCTTCTGTCTCAAGTGGACACAGGCCGCGGCTGCGCGGACAGCGAGCCCTCTTCAAAATGAACAGGAACTGCTGTTGGGCATTGTACCCACTCTTTCCGTACCCACTTCGGGCGTGCAGACTCGAGCTTACACTTCGGCCCGGCCGTAGCCGACAGAAACTGGCAGAGCTCCGCGCGGATTCTCCTTGGGATTGGCGCTGCCCCCGCCCTGCCCGCGGCGCCTCGGGCGCCGCCCCTGGCGCGCCAGCTGCGCGGCCAGGGAGGGGCGGGTGCAGTGCCGGCACGAGAAACCGGCGCGGAGCTCCGAAAGTCCATGCTCAGGTCGTCGTATATGATGATGGTGGTGATGATGGTGCTGATGGTGCTGATGGTGATGATGAAATGAACATCGTCATCATCACCGTCGTCATCAGCATCATGATCATCAGCATCATCATCATCGTCATCATCTTCGTCGTCGTTATCATCATCATCATCATCATCATCATCATCATCATCATCATCATCGTCATCATCATCATCATCATCATCATCATCATCATCATCATCATCATCATCATCGCAGCAGCAGCATCATCATCACCATCGCCATCAGCAACAGCATCGTCATCGTCATCATCAAAAGCAGCATCATCACCATCGTCATCATCCTCATCATCATCATCATCAGCATCATCATCATCATCATCATCATCATCATCATCAGCATCAGCATCAGCATCAGCATCATCATAATCAGCAGCATCATCATAATCAGCATCACCATCGTCATCAGCAGCATCACCATCGTCATCAGCAGCAGCATCATCATAAGCATCATCATCATCATCGTCATCATGATCATCATCATCATCATCATCATCAGCAGCATCATCATCATCATCATCATCATCATCATCTTCATCTTCATCATCATCATCATCCTCAACATCATCATCATCATCATCATCATCATCATCATCATCATCAGCATCAGCATCAGCAGCAGCAGCACCATCATCATCACCACCATCAAGATCATCATCACCATCATCATCATCAGCATCATTATCATTCTCATCAACATCATCATCATCATCATCATCGTCATCATCATCGGCAGCAGCACCACCACCATCGTCATCACCACCATCCAGATCACTATCTTCTTCATTCTCAGAATCATCATCATCAGCATCATGGTCATCAGCAAAAGCATCATCCTCGTAATCCTCATCATTGTCACCATCATCATCCGCACCCTCATCATCCTGATCCACATCTTCATCCCCATCCTCATCATCATCCTCATCTTCATCCCCATCCTCATCGTCATCCTCACTATCGTCCTCATCATTATCAGCATCCGAATCATAACAACAATACCAATAATACGAATACTAATCATAACACTAAGAAAAAAAGATAGTCGCCATCAGCATCACCATCATCAGAATCGTCATCATTCACATCATCATCCTCATCCTCATACTCATCGTCGTCATCATCATAATCCTGGTCTGGCTCCTCACCCTCATCCTCACCCTCATCCTCATCATCATCATCATCATCATCATCATCAGCAGCATCATCATTATCGTCACCATCAACAGCAGCATCATCCTTTTCATCAGCATCATCATCAGCATCAGTATAGTCGTCATCGTCATCCTCATCATCATCCTCAGCACCAATTGTCATCCTCATCAGCATCATCATCATCACCACCCATATCATCATCATCAGCATCATCATCATTCTCATCCCCATCCTCATCCTGATCGTCTTGATCCTCATCTTCATCATCATCTTCATCCTCATCATCTTCGTCCTCGTCCCAAGCCACATCCTCGTCCTCATCATCATCATCATCACCACCCTCGGCCTCACCCCATCCTTATCGTCATCCAAATGATCGTCCTCATCCTCATCACCATCATCATCATCATCATCATCAGCAGCAGCAGCAGCATATCATCATCAGCATCATCAGCATCAGCATCAGCATCAGCATCCTCATCCTCATCGTCATCTTCATCCTGCTCCTCCCCCTCATCATCAGCATCACCTTCCCTATGGTCAACATCAGGTCCCCCAGAATCATCATACTGATCGTAAGCATCATCATCATCCTCATCCCCATTGCTCATCGTCATCCTCACCATCATCATCATCATCATCATCATCATCGTCGTCGTCGTCATCGTCATCATCATCATCATCATGCTCATCCTCGTTGTCATCCCAATTCTCATCTTCATACTCATCCTCATGATGATCCTCATCCTGGTCCGTGCCGTCATCATCATCACCATCAGCACCATCATCGTCGGCATCGCCATCCCCATCATCTTCCGAGCACCATTACTACCCACCAGTACCAGCCAGCATCGTGACCATCATCGCCATATCACCATTACCAGCCAGCATCATCAGCATCATCCTCATCCTCAGGATCACAATCCTCATATCCATCCACGCTAGCATCATCAGCATCATCAACGCGATCAGCATCATCCTCAACACCAGCATCATCACAAGCATTATCAGCAGCCTCCTCATCATCATCACAAGCAGCATCATCATAATCATCATCATAATCATCATCATCATCGTCATCATCAGCATCATCATCATCATCATTAACGTTCTCATCCCCATCCTCATCCTCATCCCCGTGATGAGCCTTATCCATATGTGTTATCATCGGCATCATCAGCATCATCAGCATCATCAGCAGCAGACTCAACATCATCGTCGTCATCGTCATCCCCGTCGTGTTCTTCACCACCAGTCACCATCATCATACCACACCATCAGCATCATCACCAGCAGCATCAGAATCATCATCATCGTCATCGCCATCAGCATTATCATCATTATGCTCAGTCTCATTTCCCATTATCATCAGCATCCTCGTCTTCATCCTCATCCATATCAGCATCAGCATCATCATCCTCATCGAACTCGTCCTGATCCCCAGCATCATCCACGTCCGCATGCTCATCCTCCTCATCATCCCCATCCTTACCCTGACCATCATCATCCTGACCATCATCATCATCAGCAGCATCATCACCAGTTTATGAATCAGCACCATCATCAGCATCATCATCGTCATCCGCACCATCATCCTCATCATAATCCTGTAGCATCTGCATCAACCGCAGCAGCACCATCATCATCATCATCATCATCATCATCATCAACATCAACATCATCATCATCATCATCATCATCATCATCATCATGATCATCATCATCATCATCATCAGTATCATCATCATCATCATCATCATCATCACCATCAAGATTATCATCACCATCAGCATCATCAGCAGCAACATTATCTCATTCACCATCATCATCGTCATCATCATCAGCATCATCCTCGTCCTCATCTCCATCATCATCATCAACAGCATCATCATCGCAAACTGCAGCACCATGCTTTAGCATCAGCATCAGCATCGGCATCAGCCGCAGCAGCACCATCAGCACCATCACCACCAATCAGATCAGCATCATCATCATCACCACCATCATCATCAGCAGCCTCATAATCTCCTTCATCATCATCATCGTCATTTATCATCGTCCTCATCATCATCGTCCTCATCATCATCGTCCTCATCATCAGCAGCAGCATCATCATCGCCAGCAGCTGCAGCAGCAACAGCAGCAGCATCATCATCACCATCACCATCATCATCTTCACCTTCATCATCATCATCATCATCAGCATCATCATCATCATTATCATCATCATCATATTCATCCTCATCCTAATCATCATCGGCATCCTAATCCCATCCTCATCCTCGTCATCATGATCATCCTAATCCGCATCCTCATCGCCATGATCATCCACATGCTCCTCATCATCAGCATCATCATCAGCCTCATCCTCATCCTCATCATCCTCATCATCACCATCCTCAGCATCGTATCATCATCACCACCACCATCATCATCCTCAGCACCAGCATCATCATCAGCGTCGTCATCATCATCATCATCATCATCATCATCATCCGCATCCTCATCCTCTTCATCATCATCCTCATCATCCTCGGCCTCGTCCTCATCCACATCTCGATGATCATCCTCATGCTCGTCCTCATCCTCATCCTCATCCTCCTCGTCCTCATCCCCACCATCATCAGCATCATGAACATCATGCCCATCATCCGCATCAGCATCCACATCTTCATCATCTCCTCCATCATCATTATCAAGATCATCATGATGATCGTCATCATCATCATCATCAGCATCATCATCATCCGCATCCTCATCCTCCTCATCATCATCCTTATCATCCTCGGCCTCGTCCTCATCCACATCCCGACGATCATCCTCATGCTCGTCCTCATCCACATCCTCATCCTTCTCGTCCTCATCCCCACCATCATCAGCATCAAGATCAGCATGACCATCATCAGCATCAGCATCAACATCTTCATCATCTCCTTCATCATCAGTATCAAGATCATCATCACGATCATCATCATCATCACCATCATCATCAGCATCATCATCATCATCCTCATCATCATCCTCACCCGCATCATCCGCATCAGCATCGGCATCAGCCGCAGCAGCACCATCATCACCATCACCACCAATCAGAACATCATCAGCATCAGCACCATCATCATCATCAGCAGCATCATCTCCTGCATCATCATCAGAATCAGCATCATCGTCATCACCATCCTAATCATCATCCTCATCGTCCTCGTCCTCATCATCATCGTCCTGACCATCAGCAGCAGAATCAACAGCAGCAGATGCAGCAGCAACAGCAGCAGCATCATCATCATCACCATCAGCATCATCTACTCACCATCTGTACCTAATCCTCATCACCATCATCATCCTCCTCCTCATCCTAATCTGCATCCTCGTCGTAATCACATCGTCATCCTCATCACCATGATTATCCTCATCCGCATCCATATCCTCATTCTCATCCTCATCATTATCAGCCTCCATCAGCATCATCATCATGATCATCATCAGCCTCGTCCTCATCCTCATCATCATCACCCTCATCATTATCATCATCCTCGATATCATATCATCGTCACCACCACCACCAGCATCATCATCCTCATCGTCATCATCATCATCCGCATCCTCATCCTCATCATCACCATCATCATCATCATCCGCGTCCTCGTCCTCGTCCTCATCCTCATCCCCATGATCATCCTCATGCTCGTCCACATCCTCATCGTCATCCTCATCCTGACCTTCATCATCATCCTCATCATCATCATCAGCATCATCAGCATCCTGATCATCATGATCATCATCATCATCAGCAGCATCATCATCATCATCTCCGTCATCTTCATCGTCATATCCTTCATCATCAGCATCAGCATCAGCATCAGTTTCAGCATCATCATCATCATCAGCAGCATCATCATCCTCATCAGCATCAGCATCAGCATCAGCATCAGCATCAGCATCAGCATCAGCATCAGCCGCAGCAGCAACATCATCACCATCACCACCAATCAGATGATGATGATGATGATCATCATCATCATCAGCATCATCATCATAATCATCATCCCTTTCATCATGATCATCATCATCCTATCCTTCATCCTCATCATCCTCATCATCCTAGGAGTCATCTCCATCATCATCAGCAGCATCATCGGCAGCAGCAACAGCAGCAGCCTTATCATCATCACCATCATCATCAGCATCATCCTCTTCTTCAACATCATCATCATCCTCATCATCATCATCATCCACATCCTGACCCCATACTCATCCTCACTATCATGATCATCCCCATCCTCATCGTCATCATCATGATCATCCTCATCCTCCTCATTATCAGCAGCATTATCCTCATCATCATCCTCAGCATCATATCATCATCACAACCACCAGCATAACTATCATCATCATCATCATCATCATCATCATCATCATCATCATCATCATCATCATCATCATCGTCATCGTCATCGTCATCGTCATCATCGTCATCCGCATCCTGATCCTCATCATCATCCTCATCATCCTCGACCTCGTCCTCGTCCTCATGCCCATGATCATCCTCATGCTCGGCCTCATCCTAAGATTCGTCCTCATCCTCATCCTCATCCTCATCCTCATCCTCATCACCACCATCTCATCATCATCAGCAGCATCATCATCTTCATCACCTCCTTCATCATCATCATCATCATCATCAGCATCAGCATCAGCATCATCATCATCATCATCATCATCAGCAGCATCATCATCACCTTCTTCATCATCATCATCTTCACCTCCTGCAGCATCATGACGTAATCCCCCATCATGTGCATCATCATCATCAGAATCAGCATCATCATCATCGTCATCATCGTCGTCATCATCATCATAATCATCGTCATCGCCATCGTCATCATCGCAAGCATCATCGTCATCATCATCATCATCGTCATCAGAATCATCCTCATCATCATCATCATCATCATCATCATCATCCTCATCCTCATCATCATCCTCATCATCCTCATCATCATCATCATCATCATCACCATCATCATCATCATCATCATCGTCATCATCGTCACCCTCATCCTCATCATCCTCATCTCTTCCTCGAACCTTGGCGGCGTCGTACCTGAAGCCCCGCCGCAGGGCGGCGAGGAGCTCGGGCCGGTCCCGCCGCAGCAGGGCGTGGATGTCCTCGGCGCTGGCGAGCTTGCTGACGCCCCCGCCCCGCGCCGGGCGTACGCAGAGCATGGCCCGGGGCGCTGCCAGAGGTGGCCCTTCACGTGGGAGGGAGACTGCAGGATCGACTTGCCCCCAAACTGGACTGTGTTCGTCGATCGACGGACATTCTACGTCTTCTGCGGGGGCCCTGGGACACACAAACAAATCGACACGAATCACCAGATTCCCCCTATTTCCCCATATGTTCTGGCTTTTCGTCTTCCCCCCCACCTTTCATATACTTTCACTGAAGAATCGACGATTCAGTGTGTCTGTGAGTTTTTGTTCCCCTCCCGATCTTTCTCGTCCTGGCGACGAGAAGAGAAGCTTTGGCGCGAGGTGGCACAGCAGCCGTAATTACGCGGCGGCTCACGCGGGCCGCCGGAGCGGCACGCTCCCTCGGAGGCGAGGGCGCTGCCTCGAGCGACTCGGCGCGGGCAGCCGACGCGCCAGATGCCAGCGCAGAAGAATCCGTTTCTGCTGCGTCCTCCTCCTCCCCCTCCTCCTCCTGCTCCTCCTCCTCCTCCTCCTCCTCCTCCTCTTACACCTCCTCCTCCTCCTCCTCCTCCTCCTCCTCCCCTCCTCCTCCTCCTCCTCCTCCTCCTCCTCCTCCTCCTCCTCTGCTCAGGTGGCCCCCGCTCTTCCCCTGAGATCTGGGCATGGCACTCTGTTCACACCGGGCGTCTTCGCCAGGTCTCGGGCCCCGGGGCCACACACACACCACGGATGGATGCGTCCCAGGAGACATGCCGCCTACAGCTGGGCAGCAGGGCTCCGGTCGAGCTCTGGTCCGCGACGTCGGGTCTCAGGGGTCGGCTGCACCCAGGAGGGAGGCCCAGCCGACACCAGCTCTTCCAGAGGGGCCCACGTGTCCTCCAGAGCCACCCCTGACGGGGGCCCAGAGGAGCCCCCCTGGCGGGCCCAGAGCGGCGCGAGAAGGCGGCGGGGGCACCTGAGGGGCAGCTTCAGGGTTAGATCGGGCGTGTCCTCCTACAGGCGGGTTTGGGACGAAAAATGGAAAATGGATCGAAAATAATCGAAAAATCGTCCCCAGAAGATGTGCTTTCTTAACCGTTTTTGCATGTTCCTCCTGTAGAGGGACGTGCCCGACGTAACTTCAGGGGCTGGCTGGCCCAGAGAGGGAGCATCGAGCTGGGACCGACGACGGATCGACGACGGAGATCGGCGAGGGGCCCCCGCCGAGAGAGAGGTAGAGGGAGGGGAGAGGAGGGGAGGGGAGGGCGGGAGGGGAGGGGAGGGAGGGAGGAGGGGAGGGAAGGGGAGGGGAGGGGGGGGGAGGGGAGGGAGGGGAGGGGGGGAGGGAAGGGAAGAGGGGACCGGCACGACCGTGACCGACATGCATCCATGCATAAGGATATCACGGGTCATGCTGCTCCGACGGAACAACACGTTCCAGCGTGGGATCGCCGCCATCCCCGCACCAGGGTCCTCCAGGAAGCAAGGCTGGACATCCGGACACACGACCCCAGCACCGGTCGACCCATCCTTGTCGACTGGGCGGTGACCTGCGTACACTCCACCTACGCCCCACGCAGGCACGCCCGAGCCGAACGAGATGGACTCGCAGCAGCCCAGATTGTCGACGACAAACACGGCCGGTACCCCCCCCGGGAGGGCCTAGACCTCGTCCCGATGGTCTTCGAGACCGGGGGGCGGCCGTCCGACGAGGCCGTAAGCTTCGTTCGGAGCTACGGCGCCTCTCTTGAGGATGCCGACCTGTCCGAGCTCTTAAGCCGGATCTGGCGGGACATCTCACGCACCCTACAACAAGGGAATGCGGAGATGATCCTGAGCGCCCTGGGGAGATTGGCGCCGACCACCACCACCACCACGCGTGACCAACCACCAGCACGACCACTACCAGCCCGGCCGACTCTCAGGACCACCGCCGCCAGTACGGCCACCACAGCGGCCAGCTGACTGACTACCAGCATCACCACCACCAGCACGACCACCACAGCAGTACCACAACTACCAGCCACCACGACCACCACCATCACGACCACCACGACCACCACCAGCACGACCACCACGACCACCACGATCACCACCAACACGACCACCACGACCACGCCGACGACCGCCGCCGCCGCCCCCCCGTCCCCCTCTCCTTTCTCCCCTTCCCTTGCTGGGCCGCCCCTGCCGCTGCGCCTTTTGCGCGACCGTTGCGTCCTCCTTCCTCCTCCCCCTGCTCCCCCCCCCCTATGCCCCTTGCGCGCTGGCTGGCCGGCACAGAGGGCGCGGGCAGCCTTCAGCCCGCGTCGCGACCCGGGGCCTGCCTCAAGACGAGGCTGGCCCGGGGCGCACTGGACCGTGGACGGTCCCCCTCTGGGCGGCCCCCAGAGTGCTAGCGGGGGCGCCATCCCCACGACTGGCGGGAGGGGGGAGGGAGGGAGGGGAGAGGAGGGGAGGGGAGGGGAGGGAGGGGAGGGAGGCGGAGGGGAGGGAGGGGAGGGGGAGGGAGGAGGGGAGGGAGGGAGGGAGGAGGGAGGGAGGGAGGGAGGGAAGAGGGGAGGGGGGGGGGAGGGGGGGGGGGGGAGGGGAGGGGAGGGGAGGGGAGGGGGGGGGGAGGGGGAGGGGAGAGAGGAGGGGAGGGGAGGGGGGCAGGGGGGAGGGAGGGAGGGGAGGGAGGGAGGGAGGGGAGGGTGGGTCGACCCAAACTCCTCCCCGAGCCTACTCGCCCCTAACGTTAGGTCGGGCATATCCTCGGACAGGCGGATTTCGGAAGAAGAATCAGAAATGGTCAAAAATATTCGAGAGCAGGCAAAATATACTCCAAAAATCGTCCCCCGACTATTTTTGACTATAACTGAATACTCCTCCTATAGAGGGACATGTCCGACTGAACCCCAGGTCCCCGTCGGCGATGTCACTGGCCGATTGGGGGTCGACCCATCCCCCCCTGAACCTACTCCCCCCTAACGTTGCCCCTGGGCACCCCTGCAGGGCGACGAGGTCTACTTACACATATCCGCTGCCTGCTCCCTGGCCAGGCCCATCCCGAAGCCAACGGCTGTGTCTACGCCCCCCTGGCCAAGAGAGGAGGGCGTGGCGTCTGCATCCGCTGCCGGGTTCAGGATGGGCGCGGCCAGGGAGCAGCGCATGTGTACACAGACAGCCTCCCGGACATGCGACGTCCGAAAACTTCTCCAGGACGCCGTCCCGACCCTCTCCCCGGGACTGGCTCTTCGTCCTGACTCGTTTTTTTTTTTTTCGCGGTCCCGCGGCCCGGCGAGGGCCACCCGGGGCCGAAAACGGCCAGAGGCTGCCCGTCCTGTTTTTTTTTGTCTTCACGACGCGCGCGCGCAGGCCCGGGCTCGCCCTGCCCCGGGCCAGGGCCACCCCCGGGGAGCGCCCGCGGCGCCGGCCACACGCCGGAGCGGCCCCGCGAGCCCGAGGCGCCCCACGGCGCGCGCGGCTTCGGGGCGGCGGGGAGGGGGGGGGGGCGCCGACCCCGGGCGCGCAGGCCGCGGCCGTCGCGTGTCGCGCTCCGGGGGGGGGAGGGGGGGGGGGGCCCCCGCGGGCCCGCACAGGACCCGGGCATCCAAGGTCTGGGCTTGTGGATGCCACGACCGTGGGCGCTCTCGCACAATCCGACACTTGAGTTAAAGAGGTGCTTCACGTGCAGAAAGCACGTTCTGAAAAAAAAACAAGCATGTGCTGGCATGTCTTAAAGCACATGGGAAACATCCCTCAGACCTCTTCGACCTCTGGAAATGGTTTGGCAGCATGCTTCCTCGCCATTGATCGACTTCCACAAGTCTGGGTATTCTTCCAGGCGCGGCCGCCGGCAAGATGGGGTCGGGGGCTCTGGCCGCAAGTCTTGGCGGCGCGACCCTCTGTGCGCAGCGTCGGCTCTCGGGCAGAGCGTCGCAGGATCTTGCCGTCTGGGGAGGTCCGTGCGGAGAAGGGCCACTCCTGCAACCCTCGTGGCGGAAGACTCGAGGGATCGACTCCTCTTCCCCCCTCGCCTCCGTCCAAAGTTGGCTCTCGACGGGGCCGCTGCGGTAGCGCGATGTTCGGTGCAGCGTGGGGCGGGGGAGGGGGGGGGGGCGTCGCTGCGAGAAGGTGCGCCGGCGGCCAGGCAGTCCCAAGAAGACTCCGGCGCGACCCGTAGAGTTCCCTGGAGCCCATGCCCACGCTCCTCAACCGCTCCTTCTGAGCCACAGATGTTGCCACCTCTTGGAAGCGCATCTTCTACTGCCGCTGCCCTCCGCCGGCTTTCCACCGGCTTCCGCCGGCGAAGGCGGCCTGGCTTTTACTCCCGCGGGCTCCAGCTGCCCTTCCGCCGCTCTCCCGCGGAAGGGGCTCGCCTTCGATACCCTCGAAGGCGAGCCCCTGCCTGGAGCAGCCCACGCGTTGCCCGGGGTGGCGAGCGCGGCGAACAAAAAATCGCAACGGTGTCTTGGTCAATGCTCTGGAGGTCTGGGGTGGCGACTCTCGGAGAAGTAGGGGGACGAAGAATGACACAAACATATGAAAACTCGGAGGTCCGCGCGGATTTCTCGGATTTGCGCTTGACCCCCCGCCTTGGCGCGCGGAGCGCGCCAGGGGCGGCGCCGGAGGCGCCGCTAGGGGGGTCCAGAGCCGATCCGAGGAATCCGCGCGGACCTCCGAGTCTTTATGTTCATGTCGGTGCTCGCTCCCGGACGAGGGGCCACGCCTGCGTGTGGCCGCGACTGGCCAGCACGTCGCAGACCCCTGCGCCGCGCGCTGCCGGGATGGACGAGTCCACGTGCAGGCGCTGCTCCTGCGCGTTGCGGTAGCCCCGCCTCTTCGTGTGCCTCGCGGCGAGCACCTCGGGCGCCCGCGCGACCTCCACGCGGGCGCAGACCTCCCAGGCAGGAGCTGGGTCGCATCGCAGACGTGCTCGCGTCCGGGGGGGGGCCTCACCGGGCCCTGGGGCCGGCAAGAGACGACTCGGGACGCAACACCGGCCCGGGGGAAGGGGTCGGGACGTCCGGGGACCGCGTCTTGAAAAAATCAAGGCATCGCACGTCTGGGACTACAGCCAAGTCGGGCGTGTCCCCCTACAGGGGGATGTTCGACGAAGGGTAAAAAGTGCCCCAAAAATATTCCACACTGGTCAAAAAGTACTCCCAAACATAATCCCTGGACTATTTTGTTCACTATTCGTGAATATTCCTCCTGTAGAGGGACGGGCCCGACTTAAGACTGCAAGATGGCATCGGGCCGGAGATGGATCGCCGCGCCCACGAGTCGCCCCAGATCGCATCGAAGCCGGATCGCCGCGCCCGGCTCCGGCCGGCCGCGGCCGCGGCCTGCGAGCCGAACCGACTCGAACCTGGAGGAAAAAAAAGGGGCCCTGGGACACACAGATAAGTACACGCAAAGAACAGGATTCCCCACATGTCCCCATATGTTCTGGGTTTTTGTCTTCCCCCCCACTTCCCATGTTTTCCCATCTTTTCCTGGGAATCGACGATTCATTGTGTCTGTGTGTCTTTTCCCATCCTGAAAAAGAGCATCATAAACATAAACTGTTGGGTCCGCGCGGACGTCGCTTGGATCTGGGCTGGAACCCCCTTCCTGACGCGCGGAGCACGCCAGGGGCGGCGCCGGAGACGCCGCAAGGGGGCCCCCCCAGCGCAAATCCAGCCTGCGCGGAGCGCCAAAAGTCTATATGTTTATGCCGTTTTTTCGCCTTCAGGAATCGCATCGGAATCGCGGCCCTGGCCAGCAAAGCGAAGCGCATCGCAGCTCGGATCGTAGGGTGGCCCCGCGAGCCTCCCCGAGGTCCACCGACTGCGTGACGGGGCGGCCCAGGTGCGAGCACAGCCCCAGAAAGGCCCTCTTGATGGGCAAATGTTCCACCACCACCACCACCACCACCACATGCAGGTCGGGGGAGAAGGGAGGATGAGGAGGTCCTCCTCCTCCTCCTCCTCCTCCTCCTCCTCCTCCTCCTCCTCCTCCTCCTCCTCCTCCTCCTCCTCCTCCTCCTAAACATGGCAATGGTGGTGGAAGATGGGCCCGCCACCTCTGGCAGTCCCCCTCGCCGAGCTCGTCGGCCCACGCCGCCGGGAAGCGCAGCAGCACGGCCCCGCAGCCGCCCGCCAGCTCCCGCGCGGCCTCGCCGGAGCCCCCTCGAGCTGTGAGAAAACCACGGCGGGAGGGCGCTCGCTATCTTCGGCCTCGGGGGGCCCTCGCTGGCCCTCGAGATCGTCCGAACACGACTCGGGAAGGAAGACCGGTCCCTGGCCTCCTCCTCCTCCTCCTCCTCCTCCTCCTCCTCCTCCTCCTCCTCCTCCTCCTCCTCCTCGGAGGGCTTTCGCTATCTTCGGCCTCCGGTGCCCCCATGCCGGCCCTCGGGATCGTCGAGAAACGACTCGGGAGGAGAGACCGGTCCTGGGGAAAAAAAGGGCCGAGCCCTCCCGGGGGTCGACGCTGTGAAAAGAAATCATGGCGCCGGGGGTCTGGGCTGGAGGGGAAGAGAACGGTGGCCAGGACCAAGACTGAACGCGAAAACGTCCCAGGCATCCTACGCATTGAGAAAGAAAACAAAACAACAACAAAAACAAAAAAAGACGGGGGGGGTCGCTGTCTTCGGCCTCTGGGGTTAGGTCGGGCGTGTCCCCCTACAGGCGGATTTTGAACGGAAAATAAGAAATAGTCAAAAAATGCACCAAAATAGTCAAAAAGACTAAGAACAAATCGTCACCTGACTATCTTTTTATCATTTTTAAATATTCGGGGACGCGCCCGACTTAACTCTGGGGGCCCTTACCAGGCCCGGGATCCCAAAAAACATGCTCGGGATGACAAGGCAGATCCGGGGAAGAGGTCGAGACTTCTGGGGGCCCCGCGTTGCAAAAAACACGACGTCAGTTCTCTGGGTTCGGTACCGACCTTGGTCACCGCCCATCTCGGTCGCCGTCGATTCGCGGATTCTCCTCTCGAGAACCGGCGACGGCCGGCATGGACCACGACCCAGATCGGCGTCGACAAGATCCCGCGACATCCTCCTTGAGATCCGACGTTGCGAGAAATTACCACGTCGCGAAAAGTCACAACCAGAGCCCTAAACCTCATCTTTCTGCTGCATTCATTCGAGCTGGATCGATATGCGATGGTCCCAAGGCCTGGAACAAGGTAATTTGTTGTCACATCATGCCGGAGACAAAACAATCCCATCGCGATGGGAAGAACTCGATGGCAATTTAAACGGTCGCAGCTGGCACCAGACAGTGCGCCCAAGAGCATGTCACCAAGAGCCGAGGAGGAGGGAGGGAAAGGAGGAGGAGTTGGAGGAGAGAGAAACATCACCCAAAACAAATCCAGATCGCCCGTTGTGGACGGACCGCGAGGCCAGGGTCTCGGGGTCGCCGGCGCGCAGGCGCTGCGTGCTTCTTGCCGCGGTGCCTCCCGCGCGCACGCCCCCAGGCGCGGGCCCAGCGGGAAGCTCTCCGGCCCCAGCCGCTCCAGCGGCACCCCCCGGCTGCAGAGGGACAAACAGCGGCACAAACGTCACTTCTCGGAGGTCCGCGCCTATGTCTTGGCTCGGCGCGGGGCCCCCCACTCCTCCCTGGCGCACGGAGCGCGCCCAGAGCGGGCCAGAGGCGTCGCCAGGCAGGCCCCGCGCCGACACAAGAAGTACGAGAGAGGCCTGCGATCGGAGTCGAGCTGCGGGGGGAAGTGAGACGGGGCAGGCCTCCTCCTCCTGCTCCTCCTCCTGCTCCTCCTCCTCCTCCTCCTCCTCCTCCTCCTCCTCCTCCCTCCTCCTCCTCCTCCTCCTCCTCCTCCTCCTCCTCCTCCTCCTCCTCCTCCTCCTCCTCCTCCTTCCCCCCGCCGCATCATCCTCCTCCGAGCAGGAGTCAGTCGGCGGCGGCGAACGCAGGGGGGAAATGAGAGGGGGCTGGCCTTCTCACTTTACCCTGAGCTCGCCGCCGACTGACTCCTGCTCGGAGGAGGAGGAGGACGACGACGACGACGACGACGACGACGACGAGGAGAGGGAGGAGAAAAAGGAGGAGGAGGAGGAGGAGGAGGAGGAGGAGCACGAGGGAGGAGGGAGGAGGGAGGAGGGAGGAGAAATGATTTTTCAACAAGAATCAATGTTTGTGCCGTCTTTAGTCCCTCCGTGGCTCGCCGCCAAGGCCGCGGCGACCTCGGGCACCAGCGGGCCCAGATCGAGGCACGGCACCTCCTCCCGCGACCTCGGCGGGCCCTCCTCCTCCTTCTCATCCATCCTCCTCCTCCTCCTTTTCCTCCTCCTCTTCCTCCGCCTCCTCCTCCTCCTCCTCCTCCTCCGCCTCCTCCTCCTCCTCCTCAACATGTTGTCAAGGTGGACACCCGTAGCTGCGGGAGATGCGAGGTGGTCACAGATATGTTATTATGCATATGTATTCTGCTCATCTAGGAATCGGAACAGATGTCCAAAATATCACTTTGGGCTGGACCATATGAGTCGTCATATTCTTCGTCACGAACAGACTGTGACAGGTGTGATTCGGGGTCTGCACGCATACGGGCTCCCCCAGGTTGCGCTGCAACCCGATCTCCAGCAGCAGACTGATGTGCATTCGGGGGTTGCCCTCGCGCGGGTTCCCCCAGACTGCTCTCTCCTCATCGTCGGGGGGTGAGTCCAGCAACCCGACCACATCCGCCACACATGTCCCAACGCTCGCTGATTTCGGGCGCCTGGTTCACAGCGGTGTCTGAAATTGAATTATCCGCGCGCCCTCTGCCTCTCCCCATCCCTAACCCAGCATGACCAGCATATGTTAGGCTGTCGGCATACTATCTATATCTCTATATATATGCGTGCAAGGGGCTTGTCTGCAAAACACTGTCACGCTGGTACTGGATGTTGAACGGCCGTGACCGACATGATGTGATTAGTTGCCTCACCTTTGTTATAAGATCAACAAATATGTGCCAGCACCCATATGTAATAGAGTGTTCAATGATGATTTGTCCATGTATTCCTCATTGTCAATCCGTGTCTTTAAAGGCGTGGTGCGTAAGGTTTCCAAGCCCGCGTCGTTGCAATTATACTCAGACCTGGTTGTATACTCTGGAGGGGGAAGACGGGTACGACTGCTCAGCGGATGTGCGAACAAAGGCTTCTGCGAATTTGCGCATGGGAAGAACACTGGGAATGATCGGTGGGAGAAGGAGCCCATCATTGTAACGCGGACCACTTTGCGGCTCAGTCACATTGGTCTGAAACTTGCTGTGTGCGCCATTTCCAGCAATCGAAATAGTATTGAACACTGAATGCCCCAGAAACTCGTGTAGTGCATGCGTGGCGCTTTGAAATCACAGGATCTGTGTGCGCCTGTCACGGGAGTCGCCCCCGTCTGGATCTCACCGGGAGCCAACCGCAATCGAGAAGCCTGCCAGCTCGAGCACGCATGACGTAAAGGTGATGTGGAGGTTGCCAGCCTGCCCCTTCTGCATGGTACCTGTCACCCGTGGGATGAGTAAGGAAGAGGAGGAGGAGGAGGAGGAGGAGGAGGAGGAGGAGAGGAGGAGGAGGAAGAGGAGGAGGAGGAGGAGGAGGAGGAGGAGGAGGAGGAGGAGGAGGGGAGGTGAGGAGGAGGGAGGAGGGACCGCCACGGGTCGCGAAATCGAGGGACGCATCGATCGGTCGGCTGCTGTGCGACGATCGGTCGCGGGCGCCTCCCCGGCAGAGGGGCGCCGCGCCTGGCACCCAGCCTCGATGCCGCGCTGCCCTCGGTGCCCCGTGCGCCCAAAGGCGCGGGGCGCCGATGCCTCCTCCTCCTCCTCCTCCTTCCTCCTCCTCCTCCTCCTCCTCCTCCTCCTCCTTCTCCCTCCACTTCCTCCTCCTCCGCGATTACACCATATGAATGCTACTCTCCTCTTTCCCCTGGCTCTGTCCGGAAGAGGTTCGGCCTCCCTCCGCGTACTGTTTTTTACACAGAAGATTCCGGCGAGCTCGTCTTTCATTTGTGCTTTGACATCTCCGCTTCTTTCTGGTCCCTCCAAATTTTGCTCCTGCTGCAACGCTGACCTCATTTTCGGGCTCCCGCTCGGTCCGAATCGTGCTCCCGCTGCGACGCTGACCTCATTTCCGCGCTTCTGCTCATTCCGAATCGTGCTCCCGCTGCAGCGTAGGCCTCATTTCCGCGCTCCTGCTCGCTCCGAATCGTGCTCCCGCTGCAGCACTGGCCTCATTTCCAGTGCCATGCTATGGCATGCAATGCAATTCTATGGTGTGTTCGGCTGTGCGATGCCATGCCTTCAGCTGCAATGCTATGACATGCAGTGCTTAACTACGCACTGCCACGCCATACTATGTCATGCTACGCGTTGATCTTCAACGCCCTGTTATGCCAGGTCATGCTATGCCATGCTACGGCATCGGGCTGCGCGAATAGAGGGAAGAAATAGGCCATGGTAAGGGATGGGAGGGAGGGGTAGGACGTCAGATACGACGTTTGCAAACCTAGCTTGTCATCGTCCCCCTCCTCCTCCTCCTCCTCCTCCTCCTCCTCCTCCTCCTCCTCCTTCTCCTCCTCCTCTCCTCCCCTCTCTCCTTCTCCTCCGCCTCCTCCTCCTCCTCCTCTCCTCCTCCCCTCCTCCTCCCCCTCCTCCTCCTCCTCCTCCTCCTCCTCCTCCTCCTCCTCCTCCTCCTCCTCCTCCTCCTCCTCCTCCTCCTCCTCCTCCTCCTCCTCCGCCTCCCAAGACCTCGGCGGGCCCTCCGGCGGGCCGCCCCGCAGCGCACCCTCCTCGGCCTCGCGCCGCGGGCGCTTCATCGCCCCTTGGGCAGCCCCGCCCTCCAGCGAAAGGGAAAAGGTCCACGGCGACGACGAAGAGAGGGGAGAAGAGGAGGAGGAGAAGGAGGAGGAGGAGGAGGAGGAGGAGGAGGAGAGGGAGAAGGAGGAGGAGGAGGAGAAGGAGGAGAAGCAGGAGGAGGAGGAGGAGGAGGAGGAGGAGGAGAAGGAGGAGCAGGAGGACGAGGAGACGGAGGAGGAGGAGGATTAGACGGAGGAGGAGGAGGAGGAGGAGGAGGAGGAGGAGGAGGAGGAGGAGCAGGAGGAGGAGGAGGGGGGAGGGGGGGCAGGAGAAAGAGGAGGAGGAGATGGGCGAGGAGGGCAGCCACTACTGGGGATGATGGATACAATAGACGGCATGATACCAGAAATTGACAATACTATCCCACGACATCCACGACGGCTACCTTCGGAACCTCAGCCACCGCAGAAGGAGAATTGCTGAGGGATAGCTTGCATTATCTCACCTCCAGTCTGCGGTACCAAGGCTCCTCCTGCTTCGTCATTGTTCGTCTTTCCACTCCTCTCACCCTTCCCGCTCCTTATGCACGTGGGCCTCCTCTCCCCCCTCAGGGGTCGAGCCACACTGACTGCTGGGGACAGCTGAGGCCCTGTTCCTCCGCTTGCGGAGGCATAGGACCTCAGTCTTCGCCTCTTTCGGTGAGATGCTCCCCCTGCTCCCTCCTCCTTCTTCCCCGGGTAGTTCTACCAGAGTCCGTGCCGCCTCGACCTGCGGCTTCGGCGCCGCGCGGCGGGCCGCCCCGGCCTTCGCAGCCGCGGCGGCAGCGCACCCGAGGCCGAGCCGGCCCAGAACGCAGGCGCCGCACGGGGCAGGCGCCGTGGAGGACGTGGAACGGCCCGCGCTGCCAGCGGCCGGGGGCGCCGTCGCCGGGGCCGAACGCGCGTGCACAGCCCCCGGCACGAGTGCGCACGCGCCAGTGGCGAGTGCGAGCAAGGCGGCGATGCGAGCGCAAGCACCGCGGCTTTCGGGCCCGACGCGCATGGGAGGCGGGAGGCGGCAGCTGCGGCTGCTCGAGCTCGAGCGAAAATGGCTACGGGAGGAGGAGGAGGAGGAGGAGGAGGAGGAGGAGGAGGAGGAGAAGGAGATGGGAGGAGGAGGAGGAGGAGGAGGAGGAGGAGGAGGAGGCGGAGACAGGAGACCCAGACATGCTCGCGTCGTGAGAACGATCGGGACTGGGACGGGGGCTCCGTCGTTGTCGGCCCCTGGGGGCCCTCACCGGGCCCCGGGTCCGTCGTTTTCGGCCTCTGGGGGCCCCCCGGGCCCCGGGCTCGGGATATGAAGCCAGTCCTGGGAATGGGGTCGGAACTTCGGGGGTCCGCGCATCCAAAAAAATCAGGCCATCTCGTGCCCAAGGCGGAGGCTCTTGGTCGAAACGATCCTGGACGACAAACTGGCCCCCAAGGAGTGGTCCACAACTCGGGCACCGTACAATTAGTCTCGACACCGTCAACCCGTAGAATGAGAGCGCACCATCAGGATGCAAGGGCCTCGGAAGGCCATGTGGACACTTTGCGGGCAGGGCGCGGCCAGCGAGAGTGGCCAGGGATGCGCCGAAGGGGAAGGATGCAAGGGTGGCCCTGGAAAGTTGCTCATCCTCACTATGCGGGTTGACTGTAGGCTGGCGGCAGGTTGGGTGGGTTCGAGTTTGTCTTCGACCTGGCCCCCCTGCACTCTGCATCTCTCCGCTATCCGCCTCCAGTCCCGTCGTCGACAACGCGCGTTCGATGCTTCACCGCAGGCACTTTGGCACGAAGAGGCCCCCAGGCACTTTGGCACGAAGAGGCCCCCAGGCACTTTTGCTCGTTCGATGCTTCACCGCAGGCACTTTAGCACGAAGAGGCCCCCAGGGGGGCGAAGCGCTCAGCCTCGTGTTCGGTTCGCGTGGCACTCGATGCGGAACGGGTGCGGACATGGGAGCGGCGCCGCCGTGCGAGCGCACCCCCTGAGGCCGCTGGCGGGGCCTCCTCGGAGGGCACGGCTGGCGTGCAGAGGGTGTGCCGAAGGAAGCGCGGCGCCGCAGTGCGAATGCACTCACCGAGGCCGTCGGGCCGCAGGTGGAGCTCCCTCGGAGGCAGGAGCCAAACCGAGAGCACGGAAACAAGTCCACGACCAGAGGGCTCCCGGATGGGGCGTGAGCAGATGGAGTTGGAGGATTGCGCCGCATCGCCGACGCATCGACAACGCATCGGCGATGCATTGGCGATGCATCGGCGACGTCGGCGGTGCTTCGGCGACGCCGGCGTGGAGAAAATCGGGCTCCACATCGAGCCGCATGGCCGATGCATCTACTATGCTGCGCGATTGTCCGACCCCATCTACGGTCGGGAACCTTTGCATAGCATGTCGCGGCGGCGGCCACAGCGACACGCTATGCCCTGCGAGCGGATAGCGTGTCGCTCCGCTCCGCGGGGCGGGAGGCTCGGAAAGGCTCAGGACACTGGCGCTTTGAAATGGAGACGTGGATGGTGTGTCGCGCCGAGGGGTGGTCGGCCAGAACCAGCAGAGCGACACGCTAAGCCAAAGTTCCAGACCGCATCCCCCTAACATTGCCTCTGATCTGCGTGCCGACAGCTTCCGGGTCAAAACTCGGATCTCCGGCGGCCGTTCGGGACGATTTTCTGGCACCCCTTGAACTCCCTTGACGAGGAGCAGCTGCTTTTGAAGGCACCCCGAGGCTGGAAAAAGCCACCGAGAGCCAGCGAAAAGCTGGCCGAAAACCTACCACCTCGGAAGGGAATGCGAAAACCCACCCCCACCCCCAATCCCGACCCCATCCCCGAGCCCGCGATCCAGGGTATCGGGACCGGGGGTGGGGGTGGCTTTTCGGGGCCCATGGATGGAGAAAACGCCCCCACCCCCTAGTCCCGACCCCTTGGAATCGCCGGCTCGTGGATGGGAGTCGGGACTGGGTGTGGGAGTAGGTTTTCACCTTCTGATCGGAGGAAGAAAAAAGAAGAAGAAGAAGAAGAAGAAGAAGACGAAGAGAAAAAAAAAAACAAAAAAAAAAAAACACAAAAAAACAAAAAAAAAAAAAAAAAAAAAAAAAAAAAAAAAAAAAAAAAAAAAAAAAAAAAAAAAAAAAAAAAAAAAAAAAAAAAAAAAAAAAAAAAAAAAAAAAAAAAAAAAAAAAAAAAAAAAACGGCGTAGCTCCGACGACGACCCCACCTGGGAGGCCCAGGAAGACGTGGGGAGGTCTGGGGAGGTGGAGAGCAGCCCACTCCCGGGGCGCCCGAGAGCCGGTGCGGGCCTGGGGCCGAGACACGGCTGCGGGCGGGGGGGGAACGAGCAGGAGGAGGAGGAGGAGGAGGAGAAGCAGGAGGACCAGTGCGAAACCAAGAGTCATCAACGATGTTGGAATAAACCCTCCCTCCAAGCTCCCTCTGCACAGGCCCCTACAACGCGTCATTTCCACTGAGAGAAGTGCCTCGCTGGAAGACAACCGTTTGAGAATCTGGAACTGTACCAAACACACTTCATGGGTATTCAACGCCGCGAATCACCGCGCCTGTTGCATATTGACGATCCTGAATTGTGCCGAATCAACGTGACTGTTGCGCCCTGACTTTCCGACATCGCGCCAAAACAACAATTCTGGGACGATAGCCGTGAGAATCCTTGAAACTGCTGGCAACTCTCAAAACGAATGTGCGCGGCGCTTGGGCGAGAGCCACATGTTGAAAAGGAGCCGCCGTCCATCCGCCGAACTGTTGCGAACCTCAAAACGAATGTGCGCGGGGTTACGGCGAGAGCCACATTCCCCAATTAATCTTGCCTAAGGGGTTCTTACTTGATGAAAGGTTGGTGCCTCGGATTTGCACGTTGCCCATTGCTCGGAGGTTCCCAAGGTTTCTCGGGTTCCCCGGGTTCCTCGCCCCTACCTACGTTGCCCGTTCATCGGAAGTTTCTCGGGTTCCCCAAGTTACCAGGGTTCCCCGCCCCCGCTTGCCCCAAGCAATGCCAAGCAATGCCAAGCAACACAAGTCCATGCCAAGCAATTCAAAGCCATGTCAAGCAACGCACCCGAATGCCAAGCGATGCCAAGCAATGCCAAGCAACACCAAGCAACGCCAAGTGATGCGCCCATGCAATAAGCATTCCCCTGATTGGGGTCGCGCTGGGTTCGCTAGATGTGAAAATGTTGCTGATATTTTTCCCAACCCTCCTTGGTTGGGTATTCGTTTTGAATAGAGCAGTGTGGTCGCGTCCTTCCTCCTCCCGCCTCCCGCCTCCTTCCTGCCTCTTTCTGTCTTGCCTGCGGGGGGCTGCGAAACTGTCGCCAGTTTCGAGGCCTGCTGGGGGGTCCAGCATAGAGGGTAATCGCGGCAGAGCCAAATTAGACCTCGCCATTCCTGGGGGGCTGCGATCTGTGAAACTGTCGCCACTTTCGAGGCCTGCTGGGGGGCTCAGCATAGAGGGCAATCGCGGCAGATTCAAATTAGACCTCGCCATCCCTGGGGGGGGGGGCTGCGATCTGTGAAACTGTCGCCACTTTCGAGGCCTGCTGGGGGGTCCAGCATAGAGGGTAATCGCGGCAGAGCCCTGGGGGGCTGCGATCTGTGAAACTGATTCGAGGCCTGCTGGGGGGCCCAGCACAGTGAGGGCCACGCGCGGATTCAAATTAGACCTCGCCATCCCTGGGGGGCTGCGATCTGCGAAACTGCCGCCATTTTCGAGGCCTGCTGGGGGGCCCAGCACAGTGAGGGCCACGGGCAGATTCAAATGAGACCTCGCCGTCCCTGCGGGGCTGCGATCTGTGAACCTGTCGCCACTTTCGAGGCCTGCTGTGATCCCCGTTTTCGAAGTGGCTAGGAGTGCTCAGGAATTGTAAATCATCAGCTTTATCAAGCCCTTTTCCTGTAGCCAGTGTCCTGCGAGTCTCCCGAATTCCGTCTGCAGACATATGTAACCCTCGCTCCGTCATCGCCCCCTTAAAAAGTATCCTAAACTATTTGCGCCCCGCTTTTGCGCAGGGGTTGGGTACGTCGCCAGGGTAATTTAATTCTAAATAAACAAATAAATGTGTATATATATATATGTATGAATTTATTTTTTATTTTTTTTTTTTTTTAAAAAAAGGTTTTTTTTATATTTGTTTTTGTTTTTTTTTTTTTTTTTTTAAAAAAAAAAAAAAAAAAAAAAAAAAAAAAAAAAAAAAAAAAAAAAAAAAAAAAAAAAAAAAAAAAAAAAAAAAAAAAAAAAAAAAAAAAAAAAAAAAAAAAAAAAAAACGAGCGTGCGCGGCGCTGGGGCGAGCGCCACATATTGAAAACGGCATGTCCTCCATCCGCGAAGCTCTCTCAAACTTGAAAGCGAATATATGCGCGGCGCGCGAAGGCTAGAGCCCTCCAAACCCGTGAAACTGCTGCAAATTTCAGGCTAGAGAACCAGATAGTGAGGAAGTCCCAAGCGAAACACCCAGTCCGCCCTGCCGACACGCATGTGGGGGCGCAACAGGGAGGAGCTGTTGATCAGGAAGAGGGATGGAGAAGGAGGAGGGAGGACGAGGAGGAGGAGGAGGAGAAGGAGGAGCGAGGAGGAGGAAAAGGAGGAAAGCGAGGACAGGGAGGAGGAGGGAGGAGGACGAGGAGGAGGAGGAGGAGGAGGAGGAGGAGAAGGGACGGCCAGGGACATTGGTGGGGCCTGGCGACTGCCAGGCTGCGGAAGGCCCTCGCAATGCCAGCGGGGCTGCCATGTCCGCGGGCGGCGAGGACCAAGGAGGAGCGCACCGTGCCCTGGCGCAGCAGGTCGGAACTGTTCGCCGAACCTTCGGTGGCGGCGGCGGCGGCGGCGGCGGCGGCCGCGGGCCCGCGGCGCGGGAGGCGCAGGCTTCTTTGACTCAGAAGCCTTGATGTGCTCAACGAGCTCGTCGAAGTCAATGTAGTCGACGTCTACGTGCCTGACGGCGTGGCACATTGTGTACATGATAACGAGGAATTCGAAGACTCGATCGTGATCTAGAGGGCGCAGCCCCAGACTGTCAAGCCGATGGACAGAGAGGTCTGCCACTGGAATATGGAGGGCACGCCGAAGGGCACGCCAGAGTGCAGGACAAGCAAGAGAATGTTTCGAACGACATTTATCATGTATACATCCGAAATAAAGCTGCGTCTGCCTCTATCACCAAAAAAATCCGCCACGACGTCATCCAGGCATTGCCCCAGCTCCTCAGAATGGGCCAAGACCACTAGGCAGGTAAACTATCTAGGCGCACCCTGAGCTCATCCCAGTCAGTGTTCAGAATCAGCACATCGTATTGAAGCCACCAGTTGCGAAGTTGGCGAGCTGCCCACAAGGGTATCGTGGAGGGAGACGACATCATGTTCACCAGCTCAGTATGGATCGCTCTTTGGCACTTACACTTGCGAATATTATCAGGGATACTCAAATCATGGCGGATCTCGTGCGTCTAGGAAAACTCTGCATCAACCAACAGTTGCCCAATAGCTTTCCTACCAGCACGTAGGAGAGATGGCGTCATCAATCCAGAGCATGGTATACAGGCGCGAACAGCATGCAATATGTCCGCCAAGCTAGGTACCTTCCCAAATCTAAGGGACAGCTCAAACACAGGGCCACCCCTCGACAAACTCACAATAGAATCGAAATAAGATGCTCGGATACATCAGACACGACTTGGGCACAAAGCGACTCAACAGATTCCCAAATGTAACCCAAGAAGCACGGATGAGGGCTGCCGACGCCGCGAATTGCCACGTCGCGATACGAGGCCCACCCCAATCGCGGAGCCTCAGGAGCTGCTCTGGCTGGAGAGCTCCGAGGGGAAGACGTAGTGCGGAGGCCACAAGCCCCAGCTCACGGTGGCGAAGATCAGCCGCCAGCGGAACCAGCTGACACACATAGGAGAGACAAGAAGGGTACCGAGAGGAATAGTGGTACGCAAGGGCAGGGGCAGGGGCCGTGCCACGACCCAGGGCTAACCCACAAGAGATGACCTTCTGGACGGGCTCGCGAAACTGTAGATGGTCACCGGCTGCGGTCCCAAGCCACAGTCCAAGGTACTTCAAAGCCTCCACCACTTGAAAGTCTTGCCATGCAGGGACTTCAGCAAGGAGGCGTTGTTGGACTGCAATCTACAATTCAGCCGAGAATTCGTCCAAGAGAGGAGTAATACTACATGTCGCAGGTTTGAGACACAGCGTCGCCACACGTTCAGCAATACCCAGCACTCTCGAGACAACCTTGAGAAACTTGATGGGTTTCAATGCACCTACGATGTCATCAGCACACCACCGCACCATGCCACGAAGCTTAGAATCAACAGAGCTGATCAGATCTTGTGCAAATGGAGTCGTCGCAATAGCAAAGAAGGGACCCCGACATCGGGCATCCCTGCACGATGCCCAAGGGCATGACAAAAACAGGAACCAACTGGCTATGCATCAGCATGTAGCCGAGCACGGGAGGAGGAAGAGGAAGGGGAGGAGGAGGAGGAGAGGGAGGAGGAGCAGGAGAAGGAGGAGGAGGACCAGTGTTAACCCAAGACGCATCAACGATGTCGCATTAAACCATCCCTCCAAGTTCTCCCTTCATTGGTCCCTACAAGAAGGCGCGCTCACTGCGGAGCCCCATTGCATAACGACCGTCTGAGAATACTCATCGTGCCAAAACACCATTCCTGGGAATTCCACGCCGCGAATCAAAGTGACGGTTGCGTCCTGACTATCCTAGATCGTGCCAGAATACCGCTCCTGGGAATTCAACATCGCGAATCAACGTGACCGCTGCGTCCTGGCAATACTCAAACGTGCCAAAGCACATCTCCTGGAACTTAAATCATATGGACCCTTGGAACTGCTGCACAGATTCAAAACGAATGCGCGCGGCGCTAAGGCGAGAGCCACACGTTGAAAACGACCCGCCCTCCATCCATGAAACAGTTGCAAACTGTGCAGACGAGTGTGCGCGGCGCTAGGGCGAGAACCAAATACAAATTGACAACGACCCGCCCTCCATCCTTGACAACGCTGAAACACGTTAAAACGAATGTGCGCGGCGCGAAGGCGAGAGCGGCCACAATTGAAAACCACCCGCCCTGAATCAGTGAAAACTGTTGCACATGTCAAGAGTTTCACGATCAGAAGTGGTGAGGAAGTCTAAGCGAAACGCCTGGCCCGCCCTCCCGACACGTCTGGGGGTGCGAAAGGAAGGAGTTACTCGTAAGGAAAAAGGCTGCAGGAGGAGGAAAGGGGGAGAGAGAAGAGGGGGGAGGGCGGGGGAGAAGGGGAGTGAAGCGAGGAACGGACAGAGGAGGAGGAAGAGGAAAAGACAACAACCACTGGATGTCCACTGGTAGCTACATGATTGTGGAGACGCACTCCTGAACTTCGGCGGTAAGGTTTCCGTACTACCTACCTGCCGTTAGACCCGGAGAGAGCGAGGACCACATTACGTTGGATGCCATGACAACGTCTACGATCGCCCAGCTCAAGAAAGCCTTCGTCAAGAAGATGTGCGCCCCAGGCGAATACTCCAACTACTCCACCGAGGGCTACACGTACCTGAAAGCGTACTACATGAATCATGTACCAAACGAGCAGAACCTTCACTATCAGCCTGCTTCCACTGGCGGCACGAAATACCACAGTGAGATGCTCGACCAGTCAGGAGATCAAATCACGGACGACTACTGCAGGGAGAACAGATTGCTGCCCCGAGTGGCGATGCACAACCAGCGCAGGCATACCGACCACATCGAGGGAGATACGAAGCACCCCCGTGGCCTTCGCAGCCCCAGTGACGGGCGCTGAACTGCAACATGGACGACCTCGGGCACAACAGCTTGTAATCTTCCACTTGGGTTAGCCAGAGGCTACTACGTCAAATTGCTTACAGAGCTGCAGGACATGCATGATGGGCAAATTGGATATGACCCAACTTCGAGGACTGCTCTGCCGACAAGGTATGCCGTGTACAGCGCTACCGGCGGGCGACAACGCATAGCATTCGCTAGTGAGTAGCCTCGCCGGTCAGCCGCATCCTTTCCCCATCCCTCCTCCTCCTTCGTACGAGCCTCAGGACGTAGGACGGACAGGCGGCCTCCTTCCCCTCCCCCCTCTTGGGCGGAAACATGTTCTACGTCGCAGCGCGGCAGGGTCAGTCCGCACGCGCGTTCCGCAGGCCAGGAGACGGCGTTGCGAACTGTCCCGAATGCAAGAGGAGAAGGTAAGAAGTGACCGGCTTCCCAAGGGGCCGTAGGCGACCCGAGGAGGAGGAGGAGGAGGAGGAGGAGGAGGAGGAGGAGGAGGGGGAGGAGGAGGAGGAGGAGGAGGAGGAGGGAGGGGTGGGCGGAGGAGATGGAAGAGGGAGAGGAGGGAGGAGGAGGAGGAGAGATGAGGAGGAGAGGAGAGAGGAGGTGAGGAGGAGGAGGAGGAGGAGGAGGAGGAGAGGAGGAGGAGGAGAGGAGGAGGAGGAGGAGGGGGAGGAAAAGGAGGAGGAGGAGAGGAGGAGGAGGAGGAGGACAGGAGGAAAAGGAGGAGAGAGGAGGAGGACAGATCACCTGAGCCCTGCGGAGAACCCCTCCAGGGGAAGAAGAGGGGCGGCCGCGGGAGAAAGCTCGTAAGCGGAAACAGGGTCCTCAGGAGATCTGGGGGGAGGCCCCGAGCCCACCGCCCGCGGCGCGCCCGTCGGCGCGGGGGGCGGCGGCGCGGACGTGGGTTCGCTGCAGAGCGCTGCTCAATAGCAGCAGGAGAAGAGAAATCGAGACGGAACAGGAGAAAGAGGGGGAGGAAGGAAGAACGAAGGACGAGGACGAGGACGCACAAAGGAGGAGGAGGAGGGAGGAGGACCGAGGGCGGAGGAGGACGGAAAGGAGAGAGGGGTAGCGAGGAGGAGGAGCGTGAGGAGGAGAACAGGGACACCGGGTGGCAGGCAGTATAGGCGGGGGGGGGCACTCCTGCCGAGTCCTCCCTGCTGCACGTATCCCTCCCTCTTCATCATCCTTCTGCTCCTCCCCTTCCTTCCTCCCCCTCTCTCCCCCCTCCGAGGGCAAAGTCTTTCTCAGCTAGTGCATGCCCTCTCGCTTGTCTCGAACAGCACGCGCACGTGCCGATGGCTCAGCTCTGCTGCGGGTGATCACCAGCATCCGAGATCTCAAGAGCGGTGACTGCTGCCACGAACTCTCCGCCCTCCTCGCGGGCAGGTGCCGACGGGCTCCCGCCGACGTCACGCTCGGCTCCAGCTCTGGCTCCTCCTACATCGCCCCCCCCATTCGCGCTCTACTTCGACGCTGCCTCCCGTCGGCACGCCGTGGAAGGACAAGAAGACACCGCTGCCGCCACTCCCCAGACCGCTCTCGGGGTGCCTGTAGACCATAATCTGGAAGTGAGTCCAGCCGTGGCGGCGGAAAAAGGGCACCGCTATCGGTACCCTTCTGCTCCTCTGATACACAGCCCATGCCACTGGGATCCGGCCGGCTTCGCAACCCACCCCGACCCCACGAGTGCCGCAGTCGCAGAGCAGCGGCCGTGACCGCCAGGCGCTTCCGCAGCGGATGGATGACGGCCCTCGGCTCCCGCGTCGGCTCTCCCGCCGCTCGCGGAGCAGCGACAGCACCCGCATAGCATGATGCCCCACTTTCCTGCGCGCGCCGACTCCTGCCCGCGTCTGGCTCCGCAGCGACAGAGCCCTCTGCCACTGCTCACTCTTCTCGCACGCACTGGTGGCGCAGCGCTGAGGCTGAAGACGTCGGTCTCTGGCGGCGCCTTCCGCACGTGCGCCTTTCTCGCACGCCCTTGTAGCAGCGCCGTAGCTGACCAGGGCTGCTCCGTGACACAGCGTCCACGCAAGCTCACTCGCATGCAAGCGTGAGGACCTGCTGCCTGCTTGATTGGCTGCGTACTGCCTGCCTGCGTGCTCCAGCGTGCTGGCCCTGCCTGGTTGCCTGTTTGACTTGTCTCGTTCGCCCGTTCGTTGCCACATGCTGTTGCTTGGCCTTGCATGCTGCATGCTGGTTCCAGCGCTTGGCGCTGCAGCATGGAAAGTCGTGAAGCCCTCGAAAATGAAAGGAAACCTGGGGGTGGATCGTTACATGGCGGATTAAGTCTGATGTTAATAGTAGATGGTTGCTGGTGCCAGCAGGTGCTTATTCCAGCTTGCGTGAGCCAGTGCTCGTTTGCGTGTGCAGAAAGGCCGGAACTGAGGAGCGCCATGCGATAGGCGAAGAAGGTGGAACAAGAAGCAAGCAGCAAGGAGAGATTATCTACGAGAGGGAGCGAAGACTGAGGAACAAGGAGGATGATGCGAGGAGATAGGAGCCAGAAAAGCAGAGGTGGGAGGAAGAGGCGATTAGAATCGGGGGAAAAGCACGGAGCGGGCAGCGAGGAAACAAGAGCGGTGGATGGAGGAGACAGGAGCGAGGAGGAAGGAGGGAAAGGAGGAGTTCAAAGCGACGGTCGAGGCGAGAGGGGCGAGGAGGGAAGAGGGAGGGGCAAGAAGTGAGAAGGGAGGAGCAAGCAGCGAAGGGCCAGGAGATAGGAGCGAGAGAAAAGGGAAGGAGCGAGAAGGGAGAAGCGAGGGACGAGTGGCCAGGGGTGCGGAGCAAAGGACCAGGAGATTCCCGGCGCCGTCGCTGACTATGGTGGGCTCCGACGTGATCTCCCACATCTGGCCGAGCAGTGCCAGAGCCTGCTGCCACGACTTGATTTTCTCGCACGCGCTGGCCCCAGCGATGTAGCTCACTACGGCTGTGCACCAAAGCCCGCTGTCACTGCTCGCGCGCAATGGTCCGAGCACTGCAGCTGAATGCGTCGAGCCCCCATGTTGTCTCCCACATGTCACTGAACAGCTCAAGAGCCCGGAGGCACTGTTCGCCTGTCTCGCACGCACTGGCACCAGCGCTGTATATCGTCCTGTCAGGATTCAGTTTCGCCTCCCTCAGATCGCTGATCAGCGCAAGAGCATGCTGCCACTGGTCGCCTCTCCCGCACGCTATGATCCCAGCGGCATAGATGACGACGTTAGGCTGCAGCCTCGCCTCCCGCATCTCGCTCAGCAGGGACAGAGCCCTCTGCCACTGCTCGCCCTTTTCGCACGCGCTGGTGCAGGCGCTGTAACTGAAGACATCGGGCTCTAGCTTCGCCTCCCGCATCTTGCTCAGCAGTGCCAGAGCCCACTGCCACTGCTCGCTCTCGCACGCGCTCATCCCAGCATTGTAGCTGACTGGGGCTGAACCGTGGACGACCGTCCGCTACATAAACGTCGGCCTCACGAGCTTATACTCCTAATACTACTACTTCTACTACGACTACTACTACTACTATTACTACTACTACTACTACTACTACTACAACCACTGCTACTACCACTACGAATAATAATACAACTGCTGCTACTACTGGCACTAGCACGACTACTACTACTACTACTACTACTACTACTACTACTACTACTACTACTACTACTACTACTACTACTACTACTACTACTACTACTACTACTACTACTACCACTACTACTACTACTACTACTACTACTACTACTACTACTACTACTACTACTACTACTAGCTACTACTACTACTACTACTACTACTACTACTACACTACTACTACTACTACTACTACTACTACTACTACTAATAATACTGCTACTACTACTACTACTACTACTACTACTACTACTACTACTACTACTACTACTACCACTACTACTACTACTACTACTACTACTACTACTACTACTACTACTACTACTACTACGACGACGACGACGACGACTACTACTACTACTCTTTCTTCTTGCTGCATGGGGTTAGCGGCGAATGATAAGTTCGGCCCAGTTGCTCGTTTCCTTCTCCTTTCAAACCTTGGTGGGGACAGGATGTGGATGTGGTGGTTTGTGCAACGTGGTAGCGAAGCGTAATTTACAATGGTTTACGTGCTCTGTTGCTCGGCAGGGGACCTCCTACGCCGAAGAGAGACAATCCAGGAGACGTCTGAGGGCCCAGGAAGTCCCGAAGCGGAGCCGCCCTGGCAGCGCCGCGGTAGCGAGTGGCCCTTCTGGCACGCGCGCTGCCTGGCATTGTAGTATAGATATGGTCGGGCTTCAACTTTGCCTCCCACATCTCGCTGAGCAGCGCCAGAGCCCGCTGCCACTGCTTGCCTTTCTCGCACGCGCTGATCCCAGCGTTGTAGTTGATGTGGTCGGGCTCCAGCTTCGCCTCCCGCATCTCGCCGAGCAGCGCCAGAGCCCACTGCCACTGCCAGACTTTCTCGCACGCGCTCATCCCAGCGCTGTAGCTGATGATATTGGCTTCCAGTTTCACCTGCCACATCTCGAAGAGCAGAGCCAAAGCCCGCTCCCACCGAGCGCCCTTCTCGCACGCGCTGATCCCAGCGTTGTAGCTGACAAGGGCTGACACGCGCACGAAAACGTCACGAGCTGGCATGAGTTTGTGGACAAGCTTCCGAAAGACTGACATGATGACGTGGGGCTCGAGCTTCGCATTCAGAACATGCTACTGCGATGCTGCCTGCTGCCGCTCTGGCGTGCTGCTGGCAATGCTTGCCGCTGCTGCTGGTGCTGGCTGCCGGATGCTGCTGATGGTCAACTCTGCACGGTGCGTGCTGCTGCCCGCTGCCTGCTGCTACGTTTGGGTCGGGCATGTCCCCCTTACAGGCGGATCTTCGACGAACAGAAAAGAGTCCAAAGATATGACAAAGGTTATCAAAGACAGCCGAAGAATCGTCCCCCGGGCTACTTGTCTACCATGTTTAGATATTCCTCCTGTAGAGGGGCATGCCCGACATAATGCTGGTGTTTAGTCTACGTGCTCCGAGTCTCTTCATAAGCGTCGGGGGGGCGTCACCCCCGCCGACAGCCCTACATCGACCCCCGCCGCGGGCACCATCTCCGAAGGCGGCGGGGCGTCTCAGAAGCCCTCTGGCCTTCTGAGGGAGCGCGCCGTGTCTTCAGGGAAGGCTCGGAAACCGTCTCAGAAGGCCGGGGAACTTCCGAGCCTTCTGAGAAGGCCCGCCCCTTGTCACTTCCCCCCAGGCTCGCCGCAGAACGGTCAGGGCATTGGATTTTAGAGGAAGACAAAAACGGCATCAGCAGAAACTTTGGAGGTCCGCGCGGATTTCTTGCATCTGCGCTGGACCCCCCTGGCGGCGCATCTGGCGCCGCCACCGGCGCACTCTGCGCGCCAGGGAGGGGGTCCAGCGCGGATCCAAGAAGTCCACGCGGACATCAAAAAGTTGTTGTTGATTCCGATTCTCTTCTTCGAGATTGGGAACCTTAGGTAAGGAATCCAGGGTCTGGAGGCTCGCGGCTTGGCCATGGATATCACCGCCGCCCTCATCAGAGCAGGAATACTCCAGGGTCTGAGGCCTCCTCGGCACATTCCTGAAAGAAGGCCCCCAACGTATGATCTGTTCAATCCCTGCGCTCTTCCTCGGTTTAGGCATCCTGGCCCGTCATCAGGCCCATGGCCCCGTGCCCTTCCGAAATGGATCTGGGGAGAAGAGAGCTGATCCTGGGGAAGGGGTCGGGATCTCTGGGGCCGCAAATCGACAAAACGCTTCGTGGGATGTCTGGGTCTTCCTCCTCCTCCTCCTCCTCCTGCTCCTCCTCCTCCTCCTCCTCCTCCTACTCCTCCTCCTCCTCCGACTCCGACTCCGACTCCGATGCCGACTCCGACTCGGATGTCTGGGGCCGCCAGCCCTGCCGGCACGCGCTGGGCCCCGGGAGCTGCTGGAGCAGACTGGCGCTGGGCTCCAGCCTCCCCTCCGGAGCCTTGTCGGGGCCTCTGATGGGAAGGCCGGGGGCACGCACATCCCGCCCTCCCCGCGAACGACTGGAGACGACGTCGGGCTCCAGCTTCGCCGCCAGCACCTCGCCGAGCAGCGCCAGGGCCCGCTGCCACTGCTCGCTCTTCTCGCACGCGCTGATCCCGGCGTTGTAGCTGAATATATATATATATATACAACAAAAAAAAAAAAAAAAAAAAAAAAAAAAAAAAAAAAAAAAAAAAAAAAAAAAAAAAAAAACGGCGGGCGCAGCGCCCCCGCGGGCCGAGCCCCCGGCGCGTGCAGGGCCGCGCTCCCCCTCGCCCGCGAGCCCGCGGCGCCCGTCCTCTGCGGCTGCCGGCTGCCAAGGGCGCGGCCGGCCGGCCGGCCGCGCGGGGCCCGCTTTTCGCGCGGCGGCGCGCCCGCGCCGCTCGGTGCGGCTGCCGGCCGGCGGGGGCCGTGCCGCCGCTCGCGGTGCCGAGGAGGCCGTGCGGGGGCGCCGCGTGCCGAGGAGGCCGTGCGGCCCTCCCCGCCTGCCGCCGCGGCCGCGCGCGGAGGGCTCGTGCATCTCCCCTCGCCGCCAAGAAGCCGGGCGGCCGGGCGGCGCTCCTGCTGCGGGAGGCCTGCTCCTCGACGAGGAGGAGGAGGAGGAGGAGGAGGAGGAGGAGGAGGAGGAGGAGGATGGGGAGGAGGATCGAGGAGGATCGAGGAGGAGGATCAAGGAGGACGAGGAGGAGGAGAAGGAGGAGGATCGAGGAGGAGGAGGAGGAGGAGGAGGAGGAGGAGGAGGATCGAGGAGGATCGAGGAGGATCAAGGAGGACGACGGAGGTGCGGGGTGGGCAGAGACACCAAGGAAGGCAGGGCAACGCGGACGGGCGGGAGGAGGGCGGGGGAGCGCGGAAAAGCAGCTGGGCCTGGTCGAGCCTCCGGGCAGGCCCTGCGCTGGATCGAAGCACCGAGTCGGATCGCATCGGGAACGGGTCGCATCTCCAGCGGATCGTCCCGAATCGAATCGAGATCGGATCGCTGCGCCTCGCTCTGGCTGGCCCTGGGTCGGTGAATCAAGCCGAATCGAATCGAAGCGAATCGGAATCGCGGACCTGGCTGGCGAATCGAGTCGCATCGAATCGGATCGTAGGCGGCGCTGCCTGGGCAGCATTTGCATGAACGAGTTCGCGACGTGCAGCAGCACAGCCTCCCTTCGGCAGGGGACTTCGAGGCACTCCTCCCGCGCCATGGGCTGTCCCACGAAGTGCAGGGCGCGGCTTTTTTTCCATGCCTGGCGCTGATGGCGCCACTCGCTGAGACCTAGTAAGGCTGCTTGCTTTTTGGCTGGTGCTGGGCCTCTTGTGGGCCCCCAGGGGCCCCGCAGAGGCCCTGATGGGCCTCTCGGGGGGCGTCTTCTGCGGCACTGCTGCACCTCCGAAGGGCTCCTTGGGGCCTCTTGGGAAGACATGTCAGGCCTCCGGGGGAGCCCACCAGGGGGGGGGCCGCATCCTCGCGTCCCCTCTACACCGCTGCCTCATGAACGAGCGCTCTCCTGCAATAGAGGCCTACGTATCCGCCGTGCTCATGTTCGCCGCGGGCCCCGCGCACAGCGCCGACGCGGGCGGGCGGGCTCGCAGCCTCGGCACCCTCCGTCTCGTTCTCCGACGGCGCCGTCGGCGAGCCCCATCGAGGCCCTCGAGGGACCCGAGGAGGAACGTTACAGCAGGGGCCCGACCACAAGAAACCTTCCGCAAGAAACCCACCCCTGAGTGAGACCCCAGGACGTCCCCTGATTTTTGGTGCGGGAACGTCACGCCTTCCACAGCATAACCAGCGAAACCCAAGAAGCCAAGGGCACCCTGGAGCCAAGCAGGGTGTTTCTTGGCATGGGCCTCCACTGTAGAGGGGGGCATCTCCAGGGGGGGAACATCGAGCTGGAATCGGCGATGCATCGCCGATTGATCGGCGACAGGCCTCCGATGGAGAAGCCGCAGGTTCCTGGGCGGGGTGGGCTGTCGGGCCCCTATCGGCGATGAATGGGCGATTGGTGGGTCGATGCGTCCCCCCATGCGAGCCCATCCCCCCTTGAGGGCCTCTCGGGGTCATCTTGCAACCATCCTGGGGCTCGCTGGGGTCTAGTGCGGCTCTTCTGGGGGCCTGGGGGCCGCAGCTCAGAGTGCTTCAGTGCCTGGCGGAGCTCTCCGCGGTGCCCTTGGGACGTCTGGGAAGGGCTTCGGGGCCATCTTGGGATGATCCTGGGCTGTCGTGAAGCCGTCCGGCGGCCGCCCTGGTCGCGTCAGACGAAAGGGGCCTCCCGGCGCTGGAGGCGCCAATGCATCAAGGATAGCCAACGGCGGCGGGGCCGAAACCAGTTGCACGCGGCAGATATCGTAAACACCCTTCCTTATCCCCCCGTTTCATCCGACCCGACTTAAGGACCATCGGGGGCCATCTCGGGATATCTCGGGCGCGTCTGGATTCTTCAGGGGGCCCTCGGGTGAGCTTCTGAGGCTTCCGGGGAGCCGCGCGGATCGCCCAGGGAATGATCTGTAGACGAAGAGTGGGGAACACAGAGAAGACACGAACACCTCAAAAGGAGTTTGACGATTGTCGCCTGCAGAGAGCCCTGCGCGGAGAAATCCTGCAGACTCTTGGGGAACCCGTGGCGCTATCTTGGGGCGTCGTGGCCCTTCTCGCGGGCCGGTCGGGCGGCTGGACCCACAGGCTGGCCTGGCGGACCAGCCAGGCGGGACATCAAAGCGCGATTCGCGAATAGATCGATCGTGAGGAGTTTCGGGCGAAGGTGCGAGTCATCGGCAAATCGTGTGGAAGCCATGGGCGAAAGTGCAAGTCCTGAGTGGCGAGGGCGCGATGCCTGAGTAAAGAGTACGTAAGGCAGTCTCGGTCGAGAGAGAGCACGATTCCCGAAAGGCGAGGCAGCAAACACTTCAGAACTGGTGAGGGAGTGTCAAGCCAGAGCACGAACGTCAAGCGAACTGCAATCGCATCTCGAGCGAGAGCGTGATTGCTGAGTAAGTTGTGAGGAGGTCTCAGGCGGGAGCCGTTGCT